AGCAAAATTCGTCTGATAGTGCGTTGACGGAAGACGATTTCGGGCATTCGACTCTCAACGGGTGGAATGTCTGGCGGCAGTTTTCCTTGGGAATCTAAAGTAGAGTTTGCTGCGAACATCTCTGCAAAAATATTCGCTTTCTCCTGCGATGTTGTTGCTAATGTGCCGTCGGATTTGGACAGTGGTGGAAATGAACTATTAGTGAAATTTCTTCCGACCGCTTTAGCAAGGGACCAAAACGAACGGGAGCCATTGGGGCAATCTATGAGTTTCGATCTTATCTTGGCATTGTATGTTTCTTTCGAAGCATCTATTGTTTGGCTGCAGTTATTCCTGGCATCAACGTATTCTGCTCTAGTCGCGAGGTTAGGGTTTTTGTGCCAGCGATGGTAGGCTGTTTGTTTCAAGGCAACAGTCCTAGAACAGTTTTTGTTTAACCAGGGTTTCGAAGGTGACGATCTTTTCGAAAAATGAGGTATGTATGTGTCCATTCCGAGCATGATGATCTCGGATATTTCCGCAGCACACTGTGAAGGGTCCTCAGAGTCAAAGCATACTTTATGCCAAGGAAACTCGGAGAAAAACATGCGGAGACCGTCCCAATCTCCTGAATTGTAATGCCATATAAGACGTGGGGGTGCCGGAGCAGTTGATGGAATGAAAAATGGGCAGGTTGTGGAGATGAGTGTGTGGTCAGAATTGCCAAGTGGAGCTCGTACATCTATGGTGTAGGGTGCTGAGTTATTAGTGAGGAATAAGTCAAGTATGTTAGCTGAATGGTTATTGGCATCGGGAATTCGTGTGGGTTCTTTGATAAGCTGCTCTAAGCCGTGAGTGATGGCGAAAGCTTCGGCTTGTCGCCCAGCTTCATCCGTTCTGTTAGAGTGTACGAGCCAAGCAGTGTTGTGTACATTGAAATCACCCATGATGATGATTTCTGCTGCTGGATGGTTCTGTTGAATTTGGTCAAGCTTCAGAGACAAGAATTCGAAGAGCTCTTCATAGGATGGATCATTTGGTGATAAGTAGAGACAACAAAGGTATTTGGTCTGTTTCTGGCTATCGAGTTTGAACCACATGACATCAAACTTATTTGGTTCCAAAGTTTTTTCTCGTTGACATGAGAAATTCGTTTTAGAGTAGAGGCAGAGACCTCCCTTGAATCTGAAACGTGTGTGGAGTTCGTACCCAGGACAGAGCAGATAGGTCGTATTGGTGGATGAATTGACCTGTGTCTCAGTAAGAGCCAATATGTCTGGCTTTTCAATTTGAAGGTGTCGATGGACATCGTTGATGTTCTTACTTAGACCTCGGATGTTGCATAGGTCTATCTTGAGGACTTTTTGAGCCGATGGTGAACCCCCTCTAGCACCTCTCGCCCGGAAATCCGAATGGAGAGGTATTTAATCAGCGGCAACGTCGCAGCGCTGAAAATATTGCAGGTCGATATGCACAATTAATTATCCAAGGCACCAAATTTTCAGAATAATCGCAAGTTACGTTCTCCAGAAATATCTAATGTGCCTTCCACCATGAATCAGCCTGTATAGGAGAATAGGAGTATTAAGAAAGGATGACATTCGGCAACATCGCAGTCACGAATAGCAACGCTGACCGTTGAATATAATGAATTTCAGTTGTAATTCTGTTTAAATATTCAAGCGGAGACTAGCGAAGACGTACGATAGTCGAATCATGTTGCCATCCACATGCCCTATACCGGGTGTTTTTCAAAAGTGGCCCATCCTTCTATAACTTTTTTGTTTATACAGATAAATAATTGAAATTTGGTGTGTAAGTATAGTACATAAATATGCATTAATCGACGTATTCAATTGTTTTCTGTTACATCGGGTTTAACCGGAAATGACCCATATTTTCTTATTTTAAATGAGTCACCCGGTAAATTTTTACTTATTTCGATAGAGAATAACATTGTTAGTACAATGACATCCACTCCATTCATTTTCAATTTGAATGCTCCCATCATATCCTCCATTTTTCAAAATATTCAAATTTACCTTTAATCACCTTTACCAGCTATGGAGTTGGTAAGCCCAAGGGCAGGTAGGGGAGGTGTACCCAACCGGAACAATGAAATAGGATTATCAGCTTTTTATGTTCCATTCACATTTCCCATTAAACCTGATTGTAGTATTTTAGTGAAGGTGAAGGAAAAAAACATAAGTTGTGTGCAGCCATGTTGTTCAATATGGATGATTTTGCCACTGTTTTGTTAGGAGAAACAGACAGATTACTTCATTTGATAAAAGAGATCGAATCATCGGAGTATTGCCACAATCACTGCTCTAGGAGGTATCAGGTGTCATCATTTCAGGAATCGTCATTTCTTTGAAACCTGGATAGATTATTACCTAGAATCAGATTTCTATCGCATGTTTCGGATGAGGAGAAATAGTTGAAGGTTGGAGCCATATAGAAGAGAATAGTATAGGTTCTCATCTATGCATATGCCTAGATCCGAAATATATTGTTTAAGGAGCTTGTCATCTGGAAATATGAAATTACCAAAATAAATTTTCACTTTCCTAATCCACTACCCTACCATTTCTCTATTGTTTTGTAATTTGAGTGTTTCCATAATATGCTCCATCTTTCAATTCGTTAATAAATCTTCAACTTTAACATTAACCACCTTTACCAACGTTGGAGTTGGTAAACCCAAGGGCAGCTAGGGGAGGTGTTACCTAACGGAAATGACGTCACGGTTAAACACAATGAAATGGGATTATCAGCTTAAACCATGACGGGTAATGTGAATGAAATATCCCTAAGAGGGATATTTCGTTCATATTCCCCATTAAACCCGGTTAGAGTATTTAGGTGGAGAAGATGGGAGGCAACTACGTCATAATGACGTCAACTTCAACTATTTTAGAATTCCTATTTCTTTCACTTTACCCACTCCACAGTTTACCTGTGTATCTCTCACTTCGACATCCACTCCATTCATTCTTAATTCGTATGTTCCCATCATATCCTTCATTTTTCACATTCATCATTTGTAAACAAGTATTAATGTTTACCTTTAACTATGGAGGTTGGTAAACCAAAGGGCAGGTTGGGGAGGTGTACCCAAACGGAAATTACCTCACGGTTAAACACAATGAAATGGGATTATCAGCTTTAACCATGACGGATAATTAGAATGAAATATCCCTAAGATGTTGTTCTATTTAGATTCGTTGTTGTCATGATGACGTGGTCTTGCCGGCTCGAAAGGAAGGAGGAAAGAGCAGAATGGTACTATCGAGGCAGTTCCATAATATATAGGTCGTGGCATTGTCGACCACAGTGAGAATACCGGTTATCCATTTTCTGTTGGTTCTCACTTAGGCTAAAACTGAACGCATAAAACCGATTCCCGTTTTATCAAGGTAGTGTTCTGCCATCATTTGGTGGTGCTCAACTCAACGCAAGAAGATATTTGCATTCAAAGTTACCGTATGCTCAATGGGTGTGACGGCGCAATATCGAAAATTCTTTCTCTGTCACACTCATTGAGCATATGGAAATTTCTAATGCGAATATCTTCATTATCGTTTGAAATAACCGTATCAAAGCCAGTATCGTTGAATTCGTTATGATATTCCCTATTCCATAGGACACACTCGCATTGAGCATATTATGGACATTTTGAACATTTTTTTAATATTCTGGTTCCCACGAAAAAGGATATCCTGTAATGTTCTGAGAACATCGTGAGAACCAAGGGAATAAGGTAGGAATTGGTGTTCTTCTTAAATTTCTGGAGGTTATATACCTCGGGGAACACCTCCCTTGGCAATGTGTTCCAGAGCCTCGCTGTTCGTTGGATGAACGAGTTTTTGGAAAGAGATGTTCTGCAGGACTCCAAAGTGACCACGAAGGGGTGCGAAGCCTCAACTCGACGGGTTAATCTCGCGGGGACTGCCAAGGGAGGAACAATTGTTGATATTTCAGAAAAGCATCGTCCATGAAAATATCTATAAAATAGAGCCAGATCGCCAACTTTTCTACGGTGTTCCAGAGAATACCTTCTTAATCGTTTGAAATAACCCTATCAAACCCGGTATCGTTGAATTCGTTATGATAATCTCTAATCGATTATGAAATGAAATACAGGCTCCTATTTGATAATCAAAAGTTGGCGTCGTTTCCGGTAAAACTGGTAGTGATGGGAGGAAGGTATGAAGTATTGCAAAATTTTCCTTTTTTGAATTCTACACCCCAGCCAAATTTGAATCTCATGTTGGGTGTTGTCATCTTCAGATATGCAAGTTTTCCTTATAGCTTTGATAACTGGATTCTAAAACGATACTTGTTTATCAAGAAATCTAAATATAGTAGTCATTAAAACAGCATCTATCATAAAATGGGGAGTCAAATCATTTTTAAATTTCATTCTCGAAAACAGTGTCTTGAAATTTTAGAGGGCTGCTCTGGCCTTGAGTGGGTCACACTGTGTGAATCGACTGTATTATTACAAACACTACAGAGTTCACGCACTTTCCGTGTTACATCGAACAATTTTGATCGTAATTTCTCATTCGTCTACTTTCACACACAATATTTTCTATAGCATGTACCCACTCAGTATTCATGAATACCTAAGATAATAAGTTGAGTAACACAGTAAATAGTAATTGAATCCTTAAAACAACAGTACCTATACTATTCCACTAGGTGCCTATGTTATCGTTTTGTAGTTACAAGTCTTTTAAGTGCACAATCACATTATATTATTATAGTTTTATCACAATCAATTGAACTCTATGTTTGGAAGTGGGCAGTTTCACTTCAAGTGGCAGGATACCTCACATCTACATAACTTTTACGTTCTATGTTATTGATTGGTAAGTAAGTTTATCCTTTGGTAAATCGTTATATTCTCGTATGATAAAAAAAGGCAGAATCGGTTGAATCTATGCGGTTAGGTGGATTATCATTTCATAGAGGATATCCGTAATTCGTGAATCAAGAAATTATGAAATAAAAATGTAGAACCGAATGACGATGGAACAAGTGAAAATGTCAAGTCTCAATTGTTTTATTATCAGTGTGAATAAGTAACTATACTATAGTGGAAATTTTACATGACGACGATCTCTGGATATTTTGGGAATGACATGTGGAGGTAAAATCAATCTTGGTGTATATTTTATATCGTTATAAGTACCAGCTGTCAGTGACGAAAATTAAACAACTAAACAATCAACCAGCAGGCCACAGCAATCTGGGTTGTCCAAGTCAAGCGAGTTTGTTATTACTACGTATACAGGGTTGAAACCAAGCAAATATCTCGGTAACCGTTTGTTAGATTTTCTTGAATTTATGTACAAGGTGATTTCAAATCGTGTCAGATTTGAAAATGTTATCGTCAATGTTGCCACTTTCTCAGTTATTTCGGAAATATTATTAACTTCCCCATTTTGAATAGAACACCCTGTATTTTAATGAATTTTCAGATTTTCCCTGAAAAGCTGATTTCATCTATCACACTTGGGGTCTAGCGGAAATGATTACAGAGATATAGGGTGTTCAAAATCGAGATTTTTCAACTTCAGGATTTTTTTGTGTTGAAACTATTCATTATTGGTCAAAACGGCTCACATGTCCGTATCTTAACTTTTGATTTACTATCTACTGACATTTAATTGGAACGAATACAGGGTGGTTCAAGAATCAGAATTCTGATCACCCTGTATCTGTTTCAATTAAATGTCAGTAGATAGTAAATCGAAAGTTAAGATACGGACATGTGAGCCGTTTTGAACACCCTATATCTCTGTAATCATTCCCGCTAGACCCCAAGTGTGATAGATCGATGAAATCAGCTTTTCAGGGAGAATCTGAAAATTCATTAAAATACAGAGTGTTCTATTTAAAATAAGGAAGTTGATAATAATTGCGGAATAACTGAAAAAGTGGCAACATTGGCGATAACATTTTCAAATCCGACACGTTTTGAAATCGGTTACCGAGATATTTGTTTGGTTCCATACTTCATCCCAACCCTGTATACCTACAAAATTGCAATAATGAACTCAATGATGAACAAACAGATTGCAGTTAAATAACATTACGAATAAGTATTACGGTGATGTGACAAAATTCTTCCGTAAAAAAATAATACAAGAAGTTTATCCTACTATCAGAAACAATACCTAAAAACTTTAAAGTTGCTTACTTGCTTATAATAAACCAAAACACGTTGGGTACTTTTATCAAAAATATTGAAGATAAAACTTCTAAATTTGAGAACCGCATTTACGAACATACGCTAACCAAAAGGAAACATCATTTCCGAAATTAAAGTATTAGCTAGCCTGCTCGCAGGTAATTCTAATCCTTTAGGTTCGTAAGTATAAATAATTTAGGTAACTCATTGTTAATTTGATTTAATGTAAGAGTAGTCGTCTTTTTGAGAATTCTGTGGGAATCTTATCGTTTGTGAAGTATCTATTTTACATTATCAACATTGGAGTATGAGAGAATGAAACAGGTTCAATTTTATTCCTCCCAAATATGTTCACGATGCGTAATATCATGGATGCATAAACACAGTAATATAATATCCTTGACGAACCACGATCTTTTACCTTTCACCTTGGACCAGACAGAACATTTCCGAACTGCCAGGTAACTCGTTTGATTTATTCTATTTATATCAGTATGATTCGAATGGTGACGATACATGCGTTCATTATTCTTACTCTTACTCATCATTTCTGTCCTCTTCCAGATGGTACCGCGTGATGGAAGATGACGATTTCGACACGTTGTCAGTCGACTCGGTCAAGAGGAGGCGGTACGACAGAGAGAAGGAGTACCTCAGTTTGTCCAGGAACACCGTCTATCACTCCCTCATGGACCTGGAGGACTTGGAATTGGCGGACCTCGACCACAATAAGGTGTCTTGTAAAGTTAGAGATGTTAAGACGTATGAGCAGTGGAGAAATGGGGTATTTTTGTTTTTTAGTTTCAATAGGACTCAGTTGGCACGCGTGCATGGCGTTGCGCTGTACTCAAAATACTTACCCTTCTTACCTTATTTCAACACTGTCACTGTCTTTGCGGGTATTTTTTAAAGCAGGGTCGTCATTTCGGTATTTCCTAGAAATGCGATATATCTATGGGGAGATTCATAATACATTTTTTTTATGCAATGTTCAATATTCAAGAGAAATTGAAATATTTAATGGAAAGCGGTCCTTTTCAAACGATGCCACATGAATTTTATTTATTTTTCATTTCATATACATCAGTGTGTTATTTGAACGAGTTCTTTTTTTTGTTTTTTCATGGGACAACCTGTATGTTTTCATGGGACAACCTGTATGCTTTATGGCCAGATAGCACGAACATTCATAGAATATGTCTAGAATCAGAGATTATAGAATGTTAAGAACATTGAATTATTCAATATCATTCCCATTGATCAATAGGGTTATTCAAATGTCCCTACCTGAGAAAGAATGAAAAATAATGTGAATTATTCATAAAAAAATTATGTATTCATAGGAATATTCTATCTGATTTGTACTACAGTGATTCAAATAACTTGACCTATGAACGAAGTTGAAAAATTCCCCTTCGAAACATGGAATGACATGTTGAGATGCTCAGAATAGAAGTGGATCAAGTCCACAAAAGATGTTTCGGATATATTGCGGTTTAAAAATTATTTTCAAGCGCATTAATTCTCAATTGAACATATAGGTAGGACAGTCTCAGCATCGTAAATAAGAAACTCATATTTCATTACAGTAAGAGTTGAAAAGTTACAATTCTTATCTTAGGAACAAAACAATTATGACAGGAATATTATTGAACTTGAACCGCTTTTTTCAATAAACATTTTTTTTGAAATCAATCATAAAACAGTTTCATCGCCGGAATCTTCATCAGTCCCTTGTTGATTTTGCCTGATTTTTTAAATATGAATTCTTGTAGTAGGCTTGGTAAGTCGGCGTGATGTAAACAGAGAAAGTCATAGAAAAAATCAAGTTCAGCAGTTCTTGTGTCATGTTTTTAGGTGGTTTAGGGAGTATATTAGGAAGGAAAATGATAATCATAATTCATTAGAATACGAGTTAGAATATATCTATAACATTCTGAAACGAATTTTCTAAAGATCATCGGAATGATCTTATAATAATCCTATAATATCTCTCAAAGATGGAAATATTCCTGGAATACACAATTGTCATATTCCAAAGCAATTCTCTTCAATCATAATTCCGAATGATTCAGAAAATATTCTATGATTGTCAGTCAGTGTTATCTGGGTGAGGCCGATGCATACAAATACCTCTATAATAATTATGAAATAATCAAGTGGGGTCTATTTAAGTCAGACTTACACTGCTAGCCAAAAGTTCTTGAATAACTAACATTGTCAGGAAACGATTTATTCAAAATAAGGACATCAAATTCACTATCTTATTATGCATACAATGATTTCCCGAGAAATATTCATTTTTGGAAAATCCAATTTGTTCTCACTTCCGTCAGCTGATGCCTTGTACATTTACGTCCTAAAGGCAATAGTTACAGAGTTATAGGCAATATTTAATTAAGCAACGTCTCAATTATATGGTAAACTGTTGATAAATGATTTTTATTTACTGACGTATAGTATGAACTCAAAATAACCTGAAGTTTATTTTAAATGTAATTTAACCTATAAACGTCAAAAAATTTCCAGTGTCTGTCCCCCAAGGGGGAGGAAAAAATTTCCAAGAAATTTGTTTAGTTGCTATGGTAACGATACGAAGTACAGGCTTTAAATTGATCGAAAATGTTTGGTGTGAAATTTTCTGATTAAAATTCTTCTAGAAATTCGGTTTTAAGCTATGTGCAAACGGGACACTGTGTGCATGTGATAATTTCATGTGCAGCGTTGATACACCCCGCAAATGACGCCCCTGGTTTTAAGTGGTGGTGGGTTCACAAACACAATTAGATAAAAACAATGTGTAGAGAAGCTTTAATTAAAAAAATCCAATACTGACTTATTCCAGCTAATCTGATATACTTCATATAATTTAGGCTGGTAGAGATACTCATCAATAATAATCATTCCAATAAACCTCAGTGTTCACTCTCATATTTTACTACCTTGTTTTTACATTATACTAAATACTAAAATAAGAATTCTAAATTCAAAAACTTTGTGGTCGACCGACTTAGTGTTTGTGTTTTTTCCTTTCATTACAGTTTGTCCGAGCTTTCGGAAATGTAAATTCAGGGCGACTACAATAGAAAATGAACGTGTGTGTACATTGTGACAGGTTCAACTCGTCTAACTTGGACAATCCATAGCAAAAATAGAAATATTATACAAGTATTTTTTTGTTTTGTCGCGGAGAAACTGAGATTCAGAATGGGGCCTTCGGGCTCTCTGCCTCCACACCGCGACCCTTTCAGAAGATCTATTGTGTCTGCCCTCAAAATCGATTAGAGTTCTCCGGCTAGCCCCGCCTTCTCTATGAGACTCCATAGGCTAGCTTTCAGATCCCCTGTGTATCTTTGGGCTTCTGGTTTTTCCTCACCCAGCGTAAGGAACCTCAGTCTTGACAAGCCCTCACAGTGGCAAAGTATGTGTACTGCTGTTTCCTCTTCTTCCTGACAGAACCTGCACAGCAGTTCTTCAGTCAGACCTATCGTACTCATGTGTTTGTTGAGCCTACAATGCCCTGTGAGAAGTCCCACTAGTATTCTAGTTGAACTTCGTTTCTGGCTCAGTAGATATTTTGTGAATGTTGGCGATGGTTTTTTAATAAACTCTTTTGCCTGTCTCATACCTGGCGAGTTGTTCCACCATTCTTGAGCTTTGGTTTGCATCCATGATTTGATACTAGTCTTTTGTATAGCTTTCGCAATAGCACAGAAGTGTTCTGGGCCATTCACAGCTTTGTTTGCTCCTGCTCGGGCAAGTGAGTCTGCCTCTTCATTGCCCTCGTACCCTGTATGTGCTGGTACCCATGCTAGAGTCAGTCTGTTCTGACTGCCCAGTTCATTTAGGGTTTCTATGCAGTCCCATACTAGTTTTGAGTTAACTTGCATATATTTGACTGCTTTGATGCCCGCCTGGCTATCTGAATAAATTGCAATGGTTTTGCCTTTAAACTCTTGCCTTATCAATTATTTCACGCAATGATGTATTGCAATAACTTCTGCCTGAAACACCGTCGCGTATTTACCTGCAAACATTTTTGGTTTTTATTTTTTATCTCAAATGAAACAAAATCTAGTGCTTCGAAATTTGGTTAGCACTTTTCTATTGGCAATATGAACAATCCTTATCAATACAGGGGACTTAGCTTAGCTACACTGGGTGTTATTTTTCATATCCACTGAAATGGAACCCTACAAATTTATTCCATTGGGACGCTAATGGTGAATTGTAGCTGATGAAAAATAATCCTCATTTATTCACTTTGCTTTTTATTTGAAATAGTGCCCAACATATGCATAACGTTTTTTTGGACCTTAATGTTCATCTTACATCAAATTATCATTTGAATTGAATATTAAATAAATCACGGACACGAACAATTCACTTCAGAATTTCATGATACCAATCGAGTATGATGCGGCGAGGATGCGCCTGATATGATTTGTTCAATAACTCGGGAATTGAGAAAGATATTGAAACAAATGAAAAACACAAAGTGAGGTGAAGAAATGATAATGATTTTTCATTTGGTTCAATCCACAATGAAGCCCCAATAAAAAAAAAAACGATGGTTCCCATGTCAGCGGGCTCGAAAAAGAATAACACCCAGTGTAGCTAAGTCCAGTCTATTGATAAGGACTCTTCATATTGCCGATAAAAAATAAGTGCTCACCGAATTTCAAGTCGCTAGGTTTTGTTTCAACTATGATGAAAAATAGAAAACCAAAAATATTTGCGAACTTCAAAACCCCGTATAATGAAAACAAGTTTCTCCACGACAAAACAAAAGAATACGTATCTAATATTTCAATTTTTGCTATGGATTGTCGAAGTTAGACGAGTTGAACCTGAGAAGTATAGATGTAACACTCATTAGTTTATACCGGATATATGAAATATATGAAATTAATCTTCAATTAATTCGGAATAGGAAACTGGATCATTGTAGACCTTGGCCAATTAAAATTAACATTGAGATGTTTCTATTATGGTTATGGACATTGCTTTGTGAGTTTTGAACCTTTCTGAGATCTGACCACCGATTCCAAACATAATGAGCCAGCTTAGACTTTTTCAATGTTTAGACCTTTCCACCAGGAAAGAAATCTTTTTGGTGGCGAAAAACCAACATGTTCAACGCACTCTTTATGGAAACATAAAAGTCGTGGTGACTACATATAGTATTTGTTTATTTATTTCTATGATACCCTATGAAATAAGTTCTTATCACTTATGTTATAACTGAATACCTACCCGACAAGATAACCGGGTCATAAATTATTCATATAATGATAAAAGAACAGTCATCTTTATGGCTTATCATTGCTGCATCAAATGTGGCAGTCGACATGAATAGTTGACAAGAATAATTTTTATCATCATCATCATTTTCATAATTGCTTCCTTCGATAAAACCTATTGAAATAGTAAATAACAGCAATGGTAAGAATTGTATTATGATTATATAATATATTTTTCCGTCGACCTCGTATTAACGAGTAAGTTTAATGTATATGAAATCGTTCATTAATGACCCCTATTAATGAACGATTTGTCTATTAATGTACGATTGTTTTATAGGCAACCAAACATACATCGCGTGTATTCATTGTTTATGCTATAACTTACGGAATCTGCATTTAAATCGAAAATATGGATTTCATCGAAGATTTTCTGTTAACGGGTTCACCTTTCCAAGTTTCTGACACGATTTCAATCCCTGTTTTCTAACACAAGGAATTTATTTTCTATGTTGATCATTTCGACAAATGTCAAATGACACTAATGTCAGTGACAAGGCTACTGGGTGATTCTTAGCAGTTTCCAGATGAATGATGAATTCGCGAACCAAGTTTTCTTCATTGCAGGAGAAATGAGAAATATAGTCGACGGAAAAATTTTGTAACCAACTTGTATATTAAAAGGCGATTAATAATCTCGAACATTAACGCGCTCGCTTCGCTCGCACGTTAAAATATCTCGATCATTAATCGCCCTCATTAATAAACTAGTTGGTTAAATAACTATTTCCGTCGACCTCGTATTAACGACTAAGTTTAATGTATATGAAATCGTTCATTAATGACCCCTATTAATGAACGATTTGTCTATTAATACACGATTGTTTTATAGGCAACCAAACATACACCGCGTGCATTCATTGTTTATGCTATTATAACTTACGGAATCTGCATTTAAATCGAAAATATGGATTTCATTGAAGATTTTCCGTTAACGGGTTCGCCTTTCCAAGTTTCTGACACGATTTTAATCCCTGTTTTGTAACACAAGGAATTTATTTTCTATGTTGATCATTTCGACAAATGTCAAATGTCACTAATGTCGGTAACAAGGCTACTGGGTGATTCTTAGCAGTTTCCAGATGAATGGTGAATTCGCGAACCAAGTTTTCTTCATTGCAGGAGAAATGAGAAATATAGTCGACGGAAAAATTTTGTAACCAACTTGTATATTAAAAGGCGATTAATGATCTCGAACATTAACGCGCTCGCTTTGCTCGCACGTTAAAATATCTCTATCATTAATCGCCCTCATTAATACACTAGTTGGTTAAATAACTATTCTGGGACAGTTCAGGAAAAGGTGCCTAACATAATGTTCAGTAATTAATAAATATTCAAATGCGGTAAATCATTTCTCAACAATCCCTTAGGAGAGGTTACTCTTATGAAATAATGCAAAATAGTATGTTTCTAAGGAACGTATGTGTCCATGTAGGTGCGGAGTTTATTCATACTGAAGAAACCTATTGAAATTGATCGTTAATTTGCATTTTCAAAGTTAATCAATGAATAATTATAGGATTTACATAGAAATATTCTGGATGTCCCAACAAAATGTAGTGCCTGGATTTCTCAGGATAGACATCCGACTATGTTTTCAAGTGGCACACATTTAAACCTAAAAAACTTGTATAATCATCCTGCTAACCTACACAACCACCGCCATTGAAATTTCAAATGGCGATTAGGTGAGTATACAGTGATATTTCTTTTGATTGGTCCTTTGATCCTTTACACATCTGTGTTTTTTCATCATTTCTTTCCCAAGATATAACAACTATTGATCATCATCTGATGATGAAGGTTTGTTTTGAGTAATTATTTGACTCCACCGATTTTTCGGTTTTTCCAAAAATGGGTTTTGCCATTAAATCGTGATTCTGTACGTAGGGGCACAGGGCTCCTTTAAAATTAATCTGGCCTTAAACCGGTGCTTATTTGCACAATAGTTTTATTCAATGTTTTTTTCATAATGTGTGTTTTTTCATTCCCACGACCTTCGGTTTGTAAGGATTGCGGCTGATGATGGACACATGACTGTCCGAAACATGTTCTCCTAAATAATCTTTCGATTATTAAACATTGTGGAGATGGTTTTGTGTTTTCTAACCCCCTCAAAAAAGAAGGGGTTCAAATTATTCAGTTTTTTTTTTCTTATTTACCTGCAGTGAGTTCCAAATAATTGCAAAATACACTCACTGGCAAATAAAACCGGCAACCAAAAAATGTTGCCAAATTATTCGCCCTGTAACTTTTTAAATTTTGTACGATTTTTGTGAAGTTCCGACCAAATCGTATACAGTGTGTCCCACTTACTATGCACACCATGGGTATCTTTTTAACGGTAAGAGATACGAGGTCGGTTAAATGACACCAAATATTAAGTTTGTCAAGGCCAACTATAATATGAAAAAATATTTTGATAAAATCTATTCGTTTTTATTTTATACGCAAAAAACAGATTTTGATCATTTTCATGTCTCCTCCGTAACTTCTTTATTTATGAAAATATTCAAATAGGAATTTCACATTCTCATGGCAGTTTTTCAAAGTGATTTCGAAAATGATATGAAATTCATACCAACTCTCCTAGAATTTGAGATATCAGCACCAACTTTAGTTTTTCAAATGTGGGTCATAGCTCACTATGACTTAGTTACAAATATCTTTTTTTCTCTCACAAATGATTTGTAGCAGTAATAGTTTTGTGTTAATAACAACGGAGTTATTGTCATTTATACAAAAACAAAAAATTATTTGGAAGCCGCCATCTTGAATTTATGAATTTTACAGAAAAATAATGATCTCCGACCCCAAAAACCCCCACTTACCAATTTTGAATGGAATCGGACCAAATCTTGTCCGCCATCTTGGAGCAGCCATTTTTTTCAATTTCAACAAAAATCCTATAATGTATTTTCATCGAAATTATGAACACCTGCCAAATTTCAAGTCAATCGGAGTTATGGAATTTTTGTTGAAATTTAAAAAAATGGCTGCTCCAAGATGGCGGACAAGATTTAGTCCGATTCCATTCAAAATTGGTAAGTGGGGGTTTTTGAGGTCGGAGATCATAATTTTTTCGTTCAAATTTATAAATTCAAGATGGCGGCTTCCAAATATTTTTTTGTTTTTGTATAAATGACGATTACTCCGTTGTTATCAACACAAAACTATTACTGCGACATATCATCTGTAAGAGAAAAAAAAGTTATTTGTAACTAAGTCATAGTGAGCTTTGACCTACATTTGAAAAACTAAAGTTGCTGCTGATATCCCAAATTCTAGAAGAGTTGGTAAAAATTTCATATTTTTTTCGAAATCACTTTGAAAAGCTGCCATGAGAATGTGAAATTCATATTTGAATACTTTTATAAATAAAGAAGTTACGGAGGAGACATGAAAATGATGAAAATCTGTTTTTTGCGTATAAAACAAAAACGAATAGATTTTATCAAAATATTTTTTCACATTATAGTTGGCCTTGACAAACTCCACATTTGGTGTCATTCAACCGACCTCGTATCTCTCACCGTTAAAAAGATACCCATGGTGAGCATGGTAAGTGGGACACACTGTATTCATGTTTCGGAATGTTAGCCTGAATATTAGGTTCTGAGAAAAGCTGATGGCTTGATAGTTATACAGGGAAAAACAAAAGGTACTCTTTCACCTTTAACTTCCAAACGCCCTGTGGAAAAGTTGAGTGTTTAAACTTGAGTTCATTATGTTTTGGATTGAAGTGTGATCCCTTTCCAACATAATGGTCTTTGATTCACGTCGATAAACACTTTTTCTGAGAAGATACAAATGTTTTAAGAAAGTATGGATTGTTTTATTTTTATCAATAATAACTCAGATCAATCCTCCAACCTTCTGCTTCATCATGTTTTGAATAGAAGTGTAATCTTTTCTCGTCCGTTCTTAACACAATGGTTCTCGATTCACATCAATATATCCTTTTTGAGAGGAGATACAAGTGTTTTAGGAAAGTATGAAAAAAACCAATAATTCAGAACCTATAGAACATCCAAAGGGATTAACTCCAGAGGCTCATTTGCCTTTGTTTGGTCAGAGACTCGTCAAGAGCTATGATTCGCCGTTCAAGGAGAATTTCAGGCAATTCTTCAAGACTACTTGAGACATTTGATCTACTCGATGCCACGGCGGTTGAATGCTGTCATTCAAACTCGAGGAGGGCATACACGATATTGAACACAGGACTGCTTTTCGTTTGTTTTTTGTAATTAAGGTTTTTGCGGTGAGTGCTGGGAAAATAAGGTAGAAATTTCTCTAAGTTGTTATTCAATGATTATTATATGTAGGATCTGATTATTGTTAATAAAAATTGAAAAATGCCATATTTTCTTAAAACCCTCGTATCTTCTCTTTAAAATAAGATATTGACGTATATCATATACTATTGTGTTGAGAAAGGATCAGACTTCAATCCTAAGCATAATGAAGCCGAGTTCAACCACTCAATTTTGCCACAGGGCGGTGCGGTAAGAAGTAAAGGGTGAAGTTGTAACTTTGGGTTTTCCCTGTATAATGATCAAGTCATCAGCTTTTCACGGAAACTAATATTCAAGCTAACATTCTGGAACATTCATCAACATTTCAGAAAAATCGGACAAGGATTAAATAAGATACAGGATGAACAATTTGGGCAAATTTTTTGGTGGCCGATTTTTTTTTGGCTGTGAGTGTATTATGATGAATTGAGTGATTGTTTTATTCTTATAATAAATGATGACAATTCTATTATCTCCTGAAGGATATCAGATCTAAGGATATAAGTACGTATCAGTCCAATTATCAGTCCAGTCCAAACTAGTATGACTACCTATCTACTCTCACCTTTAACATCTTTCCAAAACCATGCCATTATTCTAGACGTAGAATTCTAAGTCATTCTGTATATATTATACTTACATAATTACTGACAGCGGTCTTGTGTAATCTGTTGAGTTGCTATTTTCACAAAATTGGCCCTGCAGCAAAATCATCATATCTTATTATAGGATTTTTCTTTTGGAATCTTCTAAATAATCCTCAATAATAAAAATCACTGATAACTGGCGAATTTTAACGTGAATAATCGTGCTCTGACCATCACACATCATGACATACTTCTATTTTTAGCCGAATACATATTAATCATGAATACAAATACATAGAAATAAACACTATTCAAATCAGAGCTGAGAGGTTATTTCTCCAAGTTTTTCAATTATATTATATTTATACTTTTCAACACGCAACTATGGTGGTTAGTACCTATTATAATGATGATTGGTGATTGCACTTTTTCTACAGTCAAGGCACAAGAGGAATATTATTTTAAACATTTCTATTATTTACAGAGGTGGCGAAATTTTTCCAGCAGTGACTTGAGCGTAGATTTTGTACTAGCCTATGATGAACAAGGAAAAGCAGAAGATGTGGAAAAGAGGAAAACCTTTGAAAAAAACCTGGTTACTACGGGGTTGTTGCTGGAGAGGGAAGAAAACCAAAGGATACACTTTGTCAAAATTCACGTGCCTCCAGAAGTTTTATGTAGATATTCAGAGGTTCTCAAGATGAGGTTACCTATCAAAGTTGTAAGTACAAATAATTTGAGCACATGTAATTTTTAGAGCTTCAGCTATATTCCCAAATAATTTTAGGTTTACTTACTCGATGAAACATCCACTATACTCAATATGCTACTTTGCTTACTTTAAATTTGCTGAAATGACAAAAGGTACTTTGATGTCCATGCTGTTATGTACAAATTGGTATTTTCATAATTTTCAGGATGAATCTGATTTGCCAAAAGATAATATCATAGTGGAAACTGCCAATAGATTGCTTAAAACTTGCAACGTTTCTCTGGATCCTAAGAAATTTCCTGTTAAAAAGTATCAACTTACAGCAGAGTTTAGTAGGGATAAAAATTATTTGTAAGTATGGATACTTGAACCAAGGTTTCACCTAATGACTACTTACATAAAATTTGTTTTTTAATTTCAATTCGTTCAATTTTTCATTTTCTTTCTCTTTTAGATTTGACATAGATGATCCAGATTTTTTCAACACTTCAATTATTACAACTATAGCCTCATACATTCTAGAAAGGGAAAAATTTGGTTTGGAAGATCAGGATAAGGGTATCAAAAGACTCATAACAGAAGGGGTATATAAAGCTGCATTCCCCTTACATGATGTAAGTGAAAAATAACCTTGATCATAATAGCATGGAAACATGATTGTAATCACTTTGTTATAGGGAGATCTTCATGACAGATCCTCAAAAAGAAAACTTCTTTTAGATGAATGGGCCTCAGTGTCAAAATGTCTGAAGTTTCAGCCCATAGATGAAATAAAAGACTATTTCGGGGTGAAATTCGCTCTATATTTCACTTGGTTAGGCTTCTACACACACATGCTGATACCAGCTGCCATCGTAGGAGTTATTTGCTTCATATACGGTATCTTAACCCTAAGCTCAGATACTCTGAGTAGAGACATTTGTTCAAAAGATGTGACTATGTGTCCGCAATGTGATAAGCATTGTGATTACTGGAATTTGAAAACAAGCTGTACATATTCAAGGATACAACACATAATTGACAATCCTGCAACTATTTTTTTCGCCGTATTCATGTCTATTTGGGGAACTCTGTACCTGGAATTATGGAAGAGATACAGTGCAGAGATTGCCCACAGGTGGGGTCTTACAGGGTTTGATTTGCAAGCAGAACCGCCCAGACCGGAGTACTTGCTGAAACTTGCAAAAGCCAAAAAGAAGAAGCTGAATGTTGTTACTCAGCTTCAAGAACCAGTAGTGCCTTTTTGGAGGGTCAAATTGCCTTCAGTAATCCTCAGTTTCACCCTCGCCCTGCTTTGGACTTTAGTGGCACTAGCGGTAGTTATGGGTGTCGTCGTATATAGGATGTCTTATGTCACATCTGACGCGTTATATAGGTTAGTATCACTCACTATATTGCTAATTTCACCAATTTGGTGCATCTATACCATTGTGACGTTCTAGGTTTATGGTATGTTGATGGATTTATGGGTGGTGAATCAATGTTTGACGTAATTTCTGTTGTAATTCATTCAGTTGAATTTAAGATCATAATTTAAGACCCAAACACAGATCTAACCTCTAGAAATATTGATCCAGACCGAGTGAGACGGATTGACGATTGATTATCAGGTTAGGCGTGTTCTTATATTCATATGATGAATTTCATCTGATGATTAATGATGCATGTCGCCTGACGTCACAGATGCCCCGATGAAATGTAGATTTCAACTGAATATAGAAACGATTTGATGTATACAAAAATCAACGACTCTAATGACAGCATCATTGAGGATTACCAAAACTCTAAAAAACATAATATACTAGCATTTCGAACACGAATTACTTTGTGATTATCGAAGAGTTTATTTTCATGGTTAACTTTCACGTGAAAGTCACATCATTATATTGTAGTTGCAAAATAACTATAAACTCTCTTTATTTTATTGATCACTGTATCACTGATTCTATGATCGCTGAAGATTTATCCTATTTTATCACCGGCGTAGTCAAATAACCCCACAGTTTTCAGTGATTTCACCATTTGAATGCATCAATAAATCAGTCCTTTATGCCAATGTATCAGATGAATATTAGATTGAATTATCCGCTGAATTTGAGAACTATCTGCTGTTTAAGAGATGTTCACATTGGTGAATTAAAATACTATTTGATGAATTTATATTTCATGCGCATGATTCATCGATGAATAAAAGAATACTCCTGTTATTTACTAAACGAAACAGGCAACACAACATGTCACGTCACATTTCATTGGTGTTGATGGGCAAGATTGGTGAAATTTAGCAACACAGTGTATGCGTGAAATTCGAGAATTCATGTTGGTCTGATGTACATTTTTGTCTTGTCTATTTCTAGGGATAAAACTAGTTATCGGATATACGTAGTACCTGTCACAGCAGCTATGATCAATTTAGTTTGTATTGTCATCCTAAATCTGATCTACGACAGATTGGCAGAATGGTTGACAGAAATGGAACTGCAAAGAACGCAGACCGAATTTGATGATAGTTTAGCTGTAAAAATTTACATGTTCCAGTTTGTCAATTACTATTCGTCTATTTTCTATATAGCTTTTTTCAAAGGGAAGTTTGTTGGATATCCCACAAAGTACAACAAAATTTTCGGATATAGACAAGAAGAGGTGAAATTGACAATTAATTGCTTGATACTATCTAACGACATTTTTCATTTAGTGCATGCCTGGAGGATGTTTGATGGAGCTAACGATACAGTTGGCGATTATTATGATTGGTAACCAGGCGATGAACACAGTCGTTGAAATGGTTGTACCATTGCTTATAAAAATGTATAACACATTTATGGTAACAACTGGAATAGAGAAAGCTGCAAAGGAAGAAATAACTTTGATCAGCTGCAACCAGTGGACTGAAGATTACAAATTAGGGGAATTCCAGAGCAGAAGTTTGTTTGCTGAGTATCTTGAAATGGGTAAGGATTTAATATTTTCATAAGGAAGATCTTGTGAGTGAAGTCCTAAGACCCAGTCATGAGATTTCAGTTGATTATTCTTGAATTGACCATTCTAGAACACGTGATTTTGACATGGTTTCTTGAGGGGCACACAAACTATCTATTATAGGTTACCTTTGATGAGCATAGCCCTGGCCATCCCTGCTACAACCACAATATAATAACAGTTTCACCAAACAAAATTATGAAATTCCTTCTGGTTCCAACTCGGATTTCAAGGAAAACGATCACACTAATTCTAGTTTTATATGACAAATCTTGACAAAATACAATGTTTGCCCCTCAGCAACCTGTCAAATGACATAATTCTGGAATGATTAATATTTCTGATTCGATTAACATTGGTGACGTTTCAATGATTGAAATGCAGAAGTCAAGCTCAGGCATTCCATTTTCTAGTGAGTCTATTTTTCATTTAGTTCATAATAGATAAAGAGAGATAGATTCCAACTTGGCGGATTTCCAGGATATTAGATATTCACTGTTAGTTTTGTTTCACCTGAAGAAGTGAAAAATTTGAGGCAAGAAAATAAACTGCTCAACGATAAAATAGACACTCTCGAGAATCGATATTTTGGAATCACAGTCCAAACAAAACTGGCTAGTTTTTTATGGTTCAGCTGAAAATGCTGAGGAAAATCCGAATAAATTAGAAGAAAATAATTTGAATAAACAAAATAGATCATGTAATTCCTCCAGAATTGGGTGCGACATGGGCCACTGCCACTGCTTGACAAGGGGGCCATGGCCCCCTCCTGGCTAGGTGGTCTGGCTGGCTGGCTGCTGGTCTATGTATAAAAACATATATTTATTCATACCTGAACATTGAAAGCAAATTTTCTGATCTGAAAATTTCAGTATCTGAGTATTTTTCTACGTACCTATATACTTATATGTCTGCAGTATCTGTTTTCATGATAGATTTCCGCGGCCGACTATAAATATATTTTTTGAAATTTTTGCAACGATTTTTAATAACATGAGTCTAAAAGTTGATCAGAAAGGTTTAGGAATCAAAATCCGAGTCCGTAGTTTGTATGCTAACTCTCCGACGAATCTGTTACTTGAAACCGACTAGAAACATTGAAAAATCATAGTTGGCAATGAATTTTGAAAGTTGGAATTTTACTTAGATTATATTTCTGATAACATATGATATAAAAGAAGCACTTCACAGAAAAACTAGGTGTTTTCCAAGATTTTAAGGCATAGTACATTATTCATAACTGAAATAATGTTCAAAATGTGTTTTTTAGCAAGCAGAGCTAAACTAAAAAAATTAAGATTGAAATCGAGAATTCATCCTCACCTTCTACACACTGTCTATCAATATCAAGTTTCCTATACCGCACACCCTTATATCAGTGATAGCATCAAGGATGGATTCTGAAGAAAGAAAATATTTTGAATTCATCGTCTGTAGATAGGTTAGGTAACTTACTATACTTACTGTACTTACTGATGATACCCCTAGAAAAAAAAAACTAATTTTCTATCTGGATCCATTCAACATTGACCAAAAAAAAAAAATTCGTCTGCGGCGCGTCTTCTGTTTATTTCTCAATTATACATTATTGCCCTGAAAATAAAATTTCGGTCCCTCCTTAAAAATTTTTCTGGCGACGCCCATGGTACGCACGATGTTCTTCGAACATTATAGGAATTTCCTTTCGTCCGCTTCAAGAGATAAAAAAAAATGATACTGCCAACCGGTAAGTGGTTATAAAATTCACGAACATCGAACAGAGAGTTGATACTGAAAAAATCAGTTCATTTCGAAAACTCAGGTTATGCTGTATCACATTATTACACTAAAAAAGAGGTGCAACAACGAGCAGGATTCGAAAAATTCTTGAAGCAGGCGAAGGGACTGAAGGAAGTTGGTAATCAAGTACAAATCAAACACAATGAACTGTATGTGAAAAAAAGCAAACTTTATTTTTGACCCGATAATCAAGTGACAGAGAACAAGGAATCGAAAGCTAAAACTGGTGCAAAAAATGGAGATAATATCCAACAATTTGCTCGTTGAGAAGTCAGAAAAGTAAATAGCTAGGGCAAGCCGTGGACAGCTTCGCCATAATGCACCGGAATATGCAATGTATCAAGAATAAAATGAATTTCATTAATGCCTTTTTTGAAGATTATAAGCGCAATCAAAAAAACAATAATGTTTTGTGCATTACAGAAAGCTAGGCCAATGAAAATGAAGTGTTTTGTTTGAGTGTGAATAATTTTAAGTTACTTTCTAATTACTGTAGAAAAATAGGAATTCATGGTAGAGTTATGATATATACCCGGAAAAAATGGGATTTTGTTGAAATTGAAAACTTGAAGATTGGAAGTATTTTAAAAGAATTCAAATATTGCACACTAATGAGTAAATCAATGAAAATTATTGTTATTTGTATCTACAAATCTCCAACTGGTAATAGTTATTTAACCAACTAGTGTATTAATCGCCTTTTAATATACAAGTTGGTTACAAAATTTTTCCGTCGACTATATTTCTCATTTCTCCTTCAATGAAGAAAACTTGGTTCGCGAATTATTCATTCATTAGGAAACTGCTAAGAATCACCCAGTAGCCTTGTTACTGACATTAGTGACATTTCACATTTGTCGAAATGATCAACATAGAAAATAAATTCCTTGTGTTAGAAAACAGGGATTAAAATCGTGTCAGAAACTTGGAAAGGCGAACCCGTTAACGAAAAATCTTCGATGAAATCCATATTTTCGATTTAAATGCAGATTCCGTAAGACATAGCATAAACAATGAATGCACGCGGTGTATGTTTGGTTGCCTATGAAACAATCGTGCATTAATAGACAAATCTTTCATTAATAGGGGTCATTAATGAACGATTTCATATACATTAAACTTAGTCGTTAATACGAGGTCGACGGAAAAGAAGATATTTTTTAAATTTTCTTTATGAATTGCTTCTCGATTTGACACAAAAGTACAAAGGCTACAACACAATTTCAAGTGAGCATTTGAGCATTCATTCAGAACAGCAATATCCAAATAAAAATTAAAATAAGATACAGAATATTTTTAAAATCGATCTCACCATAAATACTTTCTCTAGAGTAGCCCAAGGCACTGCAAAAACTTGAGATAACGTCATTACAGATATAGACTCAAAATTGATTGCAAGCATTGAATAGGAATATTTTGAATTTGGATATTATCTCAGTTTGGGATACAAATGTTTGTACCGTAATAATAGTACTAAACAGGACCAAATATATTTTCATGGAGAATTTTTTTGTCAACCTGACAAGTACACACTGATGATGACTTGATAGTCGAAAGCTCTCAGCTACGAAAAATTGAATAAATTATTCTGCGCGAAATACAAAATTTTGTATGTAAAGAGAAGCCAGAGTGGAATGGAACTAAACAAAGAGTGACTGATTTTTTTTTTTCTTTTTTTTTCTTCCAGTTCTTCAATACGGATTTGTGACAATATTTGTGACTGCTTTCCCATTAGCGCCACTGTTTGCCCTCATCAATAACGTTCTCGAAATGCGTTTGGACGCCAAAAAATTCATAAAGTACTTCAGAAGACCTATTCCACAACGTGTCAAGAATATTGGCGTTTGGTATTCAATACTTGCCATTGTGGGTAGGATAGGAGTTGTATCGAATGCTTTCATTATAGCATTTTCATCCCATTTTATACCTCGATTGGTGTACAGGTTGAAGGAATCGGTGGATCATACTGATGAAGGATTCTTGGAACACAGTCTGGCTTTTTTCAATACATCTGATTTTCCTATAGAGTCTGCCCCTGTTTCACCAAGTATCAACGTTACTGTTTGCAGGTAATTTCAACTTTTAATAAATAATAAATTTGGGTTATACCATTATACTCATCTGTTATATCTTCGGAAGAGATTTCAAAATTATTTAACTATTTGTACAAAAATAGGAATTAAATTTACATTCCTCAATGTGTCTCAAGTTTCGATCAGTTTCGAATTGATTCCAGAAAATTATGTTTACTAAGAGTAATAGTTGTTGTTAGTGAGTTGAGCTGCAAAATCGGAAATACCTAGGTTTATGTTTTCCTAGTGGAGTCTCATCTACAATTTGGCATTGCATTCTGGGGCTGTTGCTTATATCAGTTTGATATTTAGCATAACAGAAATTAGCAGTGAGGTGTATATATTTATAAAGTGAACTTGAGAAAATTTTGTAAACCGTTATTATTAGTAATAAAATTCCAACTTTACCTTGTCTTTTCATACTATACCTTTTCAATTTCGGAATCGGTGAGTTATATTTCGGAAAAAGTAATCTCGATTTCAGAATTGGTTAGTTCGATTTCAGAAATGGTAAACTCAATTTCAGAATCGGTGAGATGAATTTCAGAAAAAGTCCATTCAATTTCAGAAATGGTAAGTTGTATTTCAGAATTATTATTGGTAGGTTCAATTTCAGAAGATGAAATCCTTTTATATGTTTGAAATGTTTTTGATTGCAAAAGAGAAGATTTTTTACAGTGGATGAGAACGGTGTTTGAGAGCCCTATGTTGAATCAGATTGAACATATATGGGAGTGCCTTCAAGTCAGAAGTGAAGAGCTTCTTGCAAGAACATCGCCAAAGGGTCATAGCTGGAGATCCGAACAGATTGCTCAACCAGATAGAATTCAGACTGCGATGTCTTGAAGAATGTGCAAATCATTCAATGAAAATGATAACACCTCAAATGTGTTTGCATTCTTATATTCATGTGCAACGCCACTATCTTCCAGCGATTCGGATGTAAGGCATCTGTGGATTAAATTGAGATTATAATTATGTTATTGAATTGTTTTTGACAAGTTGAATATTGTGAATATGGTTTGTTAATCTCACATGCAATTGGAAACATTTCGAACAAATATAAGGATTTATTTTCTGAAATTGAACCTACCAATTCTGAAATACAACTTACCATTTCTGAAATTGAATGGACTTTTTCTGAAATTCGTCTCACCGATTCTGAAATTGAGTTTACCATTTCTGAAATCGAACTAACCAATTCTGAAATCGAGATTACATTTTCCGAAATATAACTTACCGATTCCGAAATTGAAGTTGATAAGGTATAGAAACAGTGTGACTCATCTACAAACATTTATATCACGTCTAAAGAATTTAAAAAATGGAGTATCTTACTTCCGAATCAGGAAAGCTGTCAAAGAATCCTTACTTTGTAAACCATACTATGATATTCATGAATATTTTCAGCAAGAAATGTGTAAAGAAGCTTTCCACTACCTGAGGTATTCAAATGTTTGTTTATCTGATAAATTGTATTCTTTGACAATAACATATATTTGAATCATTGATTGATTACAAAAAAAAAGAGTTGAAAGAACGCCAGAACGTGGAGTTTTATACGAACATTGATTGATGTGCAAAGTTCAAGGAAATTATTCAGAAAACGGAAGAAGTATCTATGAGTATGACTAGATGCTGTATATGGAATAGTTGTATTTATTTAGATAATTTATTTGATAGTGAATGGAGAGATCTGGTTCCATTTTATGGAATGGTGTGCTCTCTACCATTTTTCACGGTTTTCTATAAAAAAATACGAATATTATCGTTTAAAAACTACAAACTAGTACAGTTGTTGAGCTTTCTTAAAATAAAGAGTAGACGCATATAATGCATTTTTATTTTGCTTCAGTGATTTCAGTTTTTTTTTCTAAAGTAATAGAATGAGTTCTTCTAGGTGAAATGTGTAAGACACTTTATGGAAATAATTTCGTACTAGTGTCAAAATTATCTCGCACTAGTGTCAAAATTATCTCGATAGCCTTGCAAAAAGTAATCAGATCATATTTGAAAGTCGTACCTATTAAACGCCGCAAGCTTACTTTGGTTAACGTATAAAGTTACTGAAATTTTCATCGCTTTGTAGTGTCTCTCATACCATTGAATTCATTGTTCTAATTTCCGAAATCGGATGAGAAATGGCTGCGTTACAGTTCCCATCGTTTTTCGTAACACATCCCGTGTATATTTTCTTTTCAGATATGCAGAATACAGAAATCCGTACAATCACCCTGATCCTGCTCAGAAATACAAACGTCCCATCATTTACTGGCATATCTTAGCAGCTCGGCTCGCTTTCATAGTCGTTTATCAAAATTTGGTGAGCTTTGTGATGACAGCTGTCGAGTGGTTAATACCGGACATCAGTCGAAAACTCAATGATAGAATGAAGAGAGAAGCATACAGAACAAATGAAATTATCATCAAACATGAGACGGAAAGGGCTGCCCGAGAAAGGAATAAATCAAGTAAGAAACGATTATAAAAGACAGTTTAATTTGAGATATTTAGATAAAAATCAATGTCTGCATTTCTGCAGAAGTATCGGGATTTATTCTCATCTCAGCATTCCACACAATATTTTCTTGTGCCTTCTGGTGTTGCTCGTGAATTTGAACTATCAGTATTTTCTCCAGTTAGTTCTTGCCTTCTCTGACACACTGACAATGGTAAATTGGTCTTGGTCAATATCAATCTCTTGATCCGATTCCTCTTGATTAAATGAATCATCTTCAGATTTAACTTCCTCTCATAGCCGAATTCGCGGTAGCCAAGGTCATTATCTGACGTTGCGATGACAAGAAAACTACGGGAAAACATGTCTTACTTTCAATCTAAGCCAGAAGCTAGGAATGTTTTCTCGTCTGTCATTGCAACGTCAGATGACCTTGGCTACCGCGGAATATTTTGAAACTCAACTAGTGGCGCGGAATCTGGGCGACTCCAGATCAAAATTCCAGTGAAACGAAAAACGAAACCTTCCAACTGCATACCATATCGGACTAAATACTGATCGGAGAAAATACAAAGGCGCGTGAAGATAGAAACCGAGAGATGCGAAAGTATTCGAAGACTACCAAAGCCCAGAATCTGTCAGACTCCGCTCGACTACTGCAGGGTTAATGTTTTTTTTCAATCATCATTGCGTAAAGGTATTCAACGTAAATTGACCTCATGAGCAATTTTAAGAAAATAATTTGTGTGAGACGCATGTCGAATTTAATTGTATTCATTGTTAACACACTCACCTTTTTCATATATTTTGTAGTATAGACATCATTGAAATGAAGTTTTATCATCCCCAAGGGTCGCTTTGTCGCTTTGTATGGCTTCCTTCATTCTTCAACAGATCTTCACACCTTCAGAGAAACAGATCGAACGTCTTCGTCATCATGTCTTCGATCGTTACGATCACTTCAGTTCCACTCTCGGACAGTCGGGCATGCTTCGCAATTTCAAGTGGTTAACGTTTCACACTCGATAGTTTTGTATTGTTTCAGAAATGTTTCCTGGAGGTTAACGTAGGGATATTTTGGTTGACTCGTATCAGAGTATAATTGAAATGTTTCGAATATGATGAATGCTTAACAACTAGTAAACATTTCAAAGATTTTTCACATTACGCATAACAACACAGAAATGTTTCACATACATAAATATGTTTCAGATAACACGTCTAAAGATTCACGTGAGACATTTCAAGCAAATAATTAAATCATATTTCTGAAATACTTCACATAACTTGGGGAGGGAAATGTTTCTTTCCCGTTAACAAAAAATGTTTCAGAAGACACGTATTAGGGAACTTTTGAAATGTTTTTAGAAACATGTTTTGTTGGTATTGTTCGAAGAACATTACGAATAGGGAGGATAGGGATAGGAGGTAGGTTATAAGTTCTTGAGAATACTTTCATTGGCAAGGAATGCCAAAGCATTGCCGTTCTATAGACGAACGAGGTTTGATAAAAAGTTGTTTGACATATTTCAAGGTTGACACTGAAAGGATGTGCTGACTGGGCCTGTCGAGTTCATCTGAGTGGTATTGCTACTGATGAAATGATAGCAGATATTTCTGAGGAACATTTCCCGTGGTAGAGTATCTATAGAATAGTAAAAGAACGCCGACTTTACTACGGTGTCTAATGAAGTCAAGTATGCAATGATAACGCCTTTCCTTCACAGGAATGTTGTGATAATTGACTTATCATACAGCAAGCTGTTTACAAAGCTTCGACAAATCTGATCGCAAACGCACTAATATTATTCGGTACTTGAAGTAGTGTATTGAGTGTAATTGTGGACATTTCTTAATTTCGTTTGACTCCTTAACTTATATTCGCTTTTGTGCTATGCTATGTACGGAAACAAAGTATAATTTTTTGCTGTTTTCAAAAGTGTCCCAAAGTTTACGCGAGAAATAAAAAAAATTGATAACTGTAGCTGTCAAACATTATTTTTAAAATGCTCGATGAAAACGCGTTGTTCTCTCGTGTAGTGCTCCATTATTAATTACGCTGAAATGTCTGCTGTCACCTGATATTTTCTTCCAACAAAACATACGATGGTGTAAACGGTGCCGAATTCTAATCTTGCGTGAATTTTAGGACACCCTTTATGTTGTTTAACTTATACTATCTTTTTTCCAGTGAGGAAAAGAGATTCTCTACTTTCCGCAGTTACAGTATACCATGACGCACTCAATGGGGATCTAACGAATGAAGAACAACCTTCAAGTAACAAAAATACAATGTACTATGATCCATAGAAGTCCATAGGTACAAATTTTCGAATATGTGCTGTTTGAATGATTGCTTCAGCAACCTTTATTTTATAAAATTGTGGCCTTTACCTTGCCTTACTGTTGTGTAACTAGTCAAAAGAGCAGAGATCAAAAAATTATATTAAAAAAATATTTATATTACAGTTTTTCACGAGGCTTTGGGTACGCCTTTTGTGCTAATTTTCTGTTTATCCTAAGATACAGGTGAAGGCATGTCAGATAAAGGATGAAAAAGTGTAGATTGATAGAAGGCATATTTCAAAATCATTTTTTTGATATAAAAGATGATTCAGACTTATCAAAGTTGAACATTCTTGAATGAAATACCTACCCTTATTGATAATATGTTCATTGAAACGATGCAGAAACGATATGAAGCATTTGAATTTCCTAAAGAATCTATTGATATTAGATACACCATGCATATATTTTCAATGGGGGCATATAAGTGAAACTATGTATTCTTATACATATTTCCACTTTATAAATATAACTTTGAAACCATACTCGTTTGTGAATAGTTCTGTATATTATCTAATGTACTTGAAGAAATATGCCTCTTATGAATGCACAACTTGAAAATAGATTTTTGCATTTTAGAATATATTGTTCGAAATATTTCCTAAACATATATAGTCTAACTGAGTTATCTATTTATAAATGAATGTTGATAAAATATGATGAATCTCATCATAATAGTTTAGGACTGTTCAGAATTTTATAAAAAAACGAACAGGAAAGTTAAGGTCCAAAATATGTCAAAACTACAAAGTAGATAGGAAAAGTAATACTCCAAATAATGCAATTAAAAACAAAATAGTTCATGTTTTTTTATGGAAAGCGCCACAGTGGAAGATCAGACATGATCAGATATTTGCTTGACATTTCCAGTTTTAATAAGTAAGTTTTGTAATGCTTTTTGATTTTAATCTATTTTAATATACCTACTTACATTGTTTGCATTTTAGTTTTCTACTCATTGAAGATTTTATAAACTGTTCGAAATCTGACGGAATAAACTTTTTTCATTAAAGAGAATATTGTCTTATAATTTCAGAATCATTTGTGCAGCCTCCAGAATTTTCCAAAAACATTATTTTTACCAGTCTAATAACAAACAAGATAGAGAAACAATGAAGGAATTTAATTAACTAGAGAATTACAAAAGCTGGAAATATTCCAGCTCATAGGTAGGTACTTAAGGACTAAGTAAAGCCGGTTTGAAATACAATTAATTGATACAAAATGAATTAATAATCAATTGAAGTTATTGATCAATAAATGACATCTACAATCAATAAATGTCACTGCACAAATCATTATAATTTTCGATGGTTTTCTAGTATCAGTTGATCATTTCAATATTAGCAGATGAAGTGATTGAACGGTATTTGCTGAATATACATACCTAATATTATACCTTCAAAAATTCAATGTTAACAATTTGGCATGAATCAGTTATTGAAAGCATATAATATGTGACTACTATCGATCTAATGCTTTATTTTGAACGTAGTTTTGTAATATTTCAACATTTTCCAGGTATCCTCTGGTAGAACCGTTGATTGATATATTACGCTTACGCTGGGACCGTTGATTGATATATTACGCTTACGCTGGGAAGATGCCCAACCTGTGTTATTTGCGATTCGATGCCCCGCTCATCCCCTCGTCTATCGTTTAGCCACTGTGAGGTAGCGACTCCACTAGGCACACAGAACATGTCTGAACTAATTGTACAGATTACTACACTTTTAAACAGGATTACAGATCCCATCCCACCGCGTGCTATCGCTCCAGAAATTTTTGTTTATCCTTGTCTTCTACGATGAGACCCGACCCGCCCGACCGGTTCCGATAAAAAAATGTTTGCTACGGTCGGTGAATCCCATGGACGTATATGGGGAATCCGCAATCTGCAACAATAACAACTGGTTGCGAGTATTGATTTTTTTCTCGGTTCCTTGCGGAAGAGAGAAGAACATATCATGATCTCTCACTCAGTTGGGTTCCTACTCCGTGGCGTTTTTTTTAAATTCCCTTGTGAATAACTTGTCATACTTTGCAGTTTGCCTAGACCAATATACAGTGTGTCCCTAGACCAGTGGGACAGTTGAATATCTCCTGAACCAATAGGAATTTTCGAAATATTATAATTCCACATCATATCGCATCATGAGTGCTAACTTCAGGAATGACTAAATTTTATACGAGGGGCGCAAGAAAGGCTCACAAAATCGAACATCTATTTTTTCAAATGGAACACCCCATATATTTCAACATATCTGAAACATATCCCTCTAGGCTAATTATCAGTTCTTCATTTTTGAAAATCCGACAAGGCGTTGCCAAGTTATACTAGTGTTTCATGAAATGCAGACATTTTTTTAGACAAACCCATCATTCATACTACTAAGAATTTATGGAATCATTCAAGACTGTATTGGTAGTCGGTAGCATATTCTATTATATAAAATACTCATCTTCATCGAAAGTTATACAAGGTGGTCAGAAATATTGTATGATATTCACGAAATTCAAACTTTCTTCACATCAATTTTTCAAATAGTGCACCCTACAATATGTATAATTTTATATCAAGTAATGAAAAATTTTGAAATGTGCCTTGCAGCAAACGGAAGACAATTCGAACATTTATATACAAATTATTCAGTCAGTTTTTTCTTTTTGGGACTGTTCTTTTAGTAGTTAAGTACAGTTGAATAAATAGTTAACTGCATTTTTTTATTAGCATTTGCTGATGATGAAATTTACATCTCTCTTCCACATCATCTATTGACCATAAGCAATCAAACCAACAATGGGATATAAAATCATACATATTGTAGGGTGCACTATTTGAAAAATTGATGTGAAGAAAGTTTGAATTTCGTAAAAATCATATAATATTTCTGACCACCCTGTATAACTTTCGAAGAAGATGAGAAATTCATATGATAGAATATGCCACCGACTACCAACAGTCTTGAATGATTCCATAAATTCTTAGTAGTATGAATAATGGGTTTGTCTAGGTATAAAAAAAAAATTCTGCATTTCATGAAATACTGGTATAACTTGGCAACGCCTTGTCGGATTTTCAAAAATAAAAAATTGATAATTAGCCTGAAGCAATGAGAATTCAGATATGTTGAAATATATGGGGTGTTCCATTTGAAAAAATTGATGTTCGATTTTGTGAGCCTTTCTTGCGCCCCTCGTATAAAATTTAGTCATTCCTGAAGTTAGCACTCATGATGCGATATGATGTGGAATTATAATATTTCGAAAATTCCTATTGGTTCACGAGATATTCAACTGTCCCACTGGTCTAGGGACACACTGTATATGTATATCTGGAAAAACATCTTACGCCTTTTTTGTTGATTATTTTTTTCACTCAATTTGTATCCATATTAAAGTTTTGTATCAATAAGACATTACAAAATATTGATAATATAATCAATCTGAATGTGATAATTTCTTAGAGTCTCATCAGTAGATAGAAAATAAATAGTCAGATATCTTTGAATCTTTGATTGTTAATGGTTCACTATAAAAATGAAATAAAATACATCATCTATAATAGGCATAATATACAGAGTCATATAACTATTGGAACATATATAGAATTCATTTATTTATTGGATAACAAGAGTTGAAGCTGCAAGCTTATGAACCATTTTTTACAGTATCTAGTTGTTGAAAAATATGAATTATTTTTTGGTATATTTGAAGAGATAAAAACAAAATCAACAGAAAAAAGCTACATTTCCAATCTATATATGCCACGATATATAATCATGAAATCGGCGTTGATATTTTGTGATACCAGTAGTAGTAGGTAACTTTTTCTGAGTAGAATCGATTTTGTCGATCCAGAACAACGGAGTACAGACTACGGAACGCTCAGAATCTCCGCCCTAACAACACAGGGATGTTCTAGCCCAGTCAACACACGGACATTCGATGGACATCCATTGGACGTCCATTTAGGATATTTGGGATATCCAGAGAATATCCAGTGATATCCGATGTATATCTTATGGACGTCCAATGGACGTGCCGAGTGGAAGGAGTTGGACTTCTATAGGATATCCTCCAGGGACATCCATAAGACATTTTTCAGGGATATCCATAAGATATTGTTCACAAATATCCATAAGACATTTTTCAGGGATATCCATAAGATATTGTTCACAAATATCCATGAGATATTTTTCAGGGATATTTACTAAATATCCTTAACAATATAGAACACCATGTATATTATTCCATAATGAATTAGGAACTATTATAACGAATTCAACGGTACCGGATTGGATAGGGTTATTTCAAACGATTACGAAGATATTTGCATTCGATGTTTTCATATGTTCATTGAGGATATGGAAATGTGAATATCTTCCTAATCGTTTGTAGAAATCCTATCAAACACAGTATCGTTGAATTCGTTATGATAATCCTTAACCGATTATGGAATAAAATACAGGGTGTCCCGTTTGAAAATGCCATCCTCGGTTTAAGTGCCAGTTATGAAGCAAACATGTAGGTACATACAACACAAATAAATAGTTGATCTTTGTGACATTTATTTGAAAAGTACAACTACCAAGGACAGGTTTGACATTTCCAGAAAAGAAGTTGCTCGTCCACCCTGTTTGTGATAGGAAAATTGAGAATATTCATTATGTTTCATATAACTGGTCTCTTCATTTTTTTCTTAAAACAGGGCATCTCATCTATAGGAATACTGATTGTATTAGTCCCTCTGTTGATTGCTTTTTGTGTCAACCAAGCATATTTATATATCTCTGGAAGATCCCACATTCTTCCTGAAAACAATGATATAGAGTTGAGTTTCAGGAGTTTACCAATATCATTATTAGGGAGAGTTCTTCTTACCTGACACACACAGTGGACTGTAAACATAATGAGGCATTATACTTATTATACTTCAATGCAATCATTTGCATCCATTTGACCAGCCAAAACCAGGTGGCCCGCATTTATAAGCTCAGCTTCATTTTGGAGACACTGAATCACTGAAAAAGGATAGACAGATTGAAATGCACAGGCTAAATGGCCAAATCATAAGAATTCTTGTTCAATAATGATAAAAACTTACAGCTTATGTTGGTATAGGTTTTAGGTTCAACATTCCAACTAGAGGTAGGTAGGTGTTCTACTGTTAAACATCAGAGATATTATTGTCCTCAATCAAAACACAATGAACCACTGGAAAACACGGATTTAAAAAATACACAAATATCAAAGCTGAGAATGATTGAGAACTCAAAACGAAATTAACATAAACACACCTCTCAATAAACACCATCACCAAAACCAAACAATGTAAAATATAAACAATCAAATAGTACTGGCTTTCGCCGTTCTGGCTCTTGCGCTACGATCTCTCTTTCGTTTGACATGGCGGTATTTTCAAATCATCCCACCCGATTTATAAAATAACTTACTCTGAACAATCTATATAACCTCTATGTATTACGGTGAAGTTATAAAAATTATGAAATTGAAAATATTCTATTAGCCTGAATCAATATGATTATACCTATATTTCTTATTAAAAGTTTAACGCATATTATGAGAATAGAACCATAACTAGGTGTGGAATTCAGGAATTCTGAGAGTGGAGAACGTTCAGATATGACACACTAAAAGTCATTATGATTAATACTTATTATAATATACCAAATATCATTATTGCTTATTTGTATTATTACGATGTCTTTAAGACGTATTCAGGACGTGAGAATCAGATATCTTTAAAACGTCTGAATGATGACATCTTGTAGACGTCTTATTCAGGGAGTAAGACGTACAGACTAAGATAGGATATAATTCAGACATCTTAAAGACGTCTTGTGCTATCTGGGTAAGATATCTTCTGATGGATATCCGCTATAAATCCATGGATGAATATCTCATGGATGTCCATCTGAAGACCACAAAAAAGTAAATATATGAGAGCTATTTCCGAGTGATTGTATATTTTTGTACGAAAA